ACTTTTTAAAATATTCAGTTTTTTTTTCAGCAGATTTTTCCAATTCAAATGAATGGAGAGAATCTTCAAAGCTTCCTCTTCCTTCAGCCTTAAAATCTTCAGCATAAAAGCCAACCTTTAAACAGGTCAGGACAAGTTCAGCTAGTAATGTTGTATTCGGCTTTTTGATATCTATTATGGTTTTTAAATTAAAGCCGTAATAGGTTAAACCAATCCGGGGCACACTCCTGGTGGCCAGGCTTTAGCCCATGGGGCCTGATCAGGCACAGTCTGAAGAGATGACATGGGGCCACACAAACCGTCACACAGTAACACACGCAGAGACACAGTAGCACAGTAACACACACACACACACACACACACACACACACACACACACACACACACACAGTTGGTTTGCTTTCAAAATAAGAACCCTGAAATATTCAGAAATAGCTTCAATATCAACAGTTGAACAACTGAATGTCCAGTTCCTTTAAAGCTCAGAGCTATGCTCCTTGTTACTGTCAGCTAGTTTGTCCAACACAGGCTGAAATGTGCTTGTGGTGCAAAATTGGTGTCAAGAAGTTACAATGTCACTCTGAAGGATGCTGGATAATGAATATAAGAGCCCCAGATTATAACTAGGTGTGACATGAGTGCTAAGTAACATGCCAGCTTTTCAAAATAATAGCCCCAGATTTTTACTTAAGCTTACATTAAGGCACCATAACATGCATGATCTTCAAAATAAAAGCCCAGGATTGTATCTTAAGGTCACATAAAGGCCTGGTAGTGTGAGCAGTGGTTTAAAATGCATGGCAAACTTTATTTGGACAATTATTTCTATTCATTTATAAATTCAAGCAATTGTATTTCTACTTCCAACTTTGGAAGTACAAGTATACCTTCCATTGTTTCAGTGATGCAGTTGAGCTCTCAGTTTGCTTAGAAAATAAGCTCCCAACTTCAGCTTTTCTTTCATAATATTCCATAATTATTCAGTATGGGATAGCATTAATTATATGATTGGATTATGATTATTGATGAAACACTGAGTACATCACATTTAATATCACAGCTGGTAAAGGTGGATCTAATGTTAACTTTACCTTATATGTTTAGAAGTTCAAGTACTGCTGGGTAGCTCGTGAATTTCACATCAGGGATCAATAAAGTTATGATTATACTATATTTTATCAATTTGAAGTTATCAAATACGTGTAATAAAGTAAAAAGTACATTTGCCTCTAAATTGTAGTGAAGTCAAAGTATGATGTAAATTGTAATTAAGTACAGTACTTGAGTAACTGTATTTAGTTACTTTCTACCACTGTTTAAAACAGACTTTAAAAAGTGTGATTAATTTGTGATTGTGACAATTGCGAGTTAACTATGAACAATCATGCAAGTAATTGTGATTAAATATTTGAATTGATAAAGAGCACAAAAATAAAATAACATAAAATAAAATAAAGTGCAATATTTACCTCTGCAGTGACAAGCACTTGTTTACCAGGCAAACCTGGAGGTCCTGGTTCCCCCTTATTACCATTTTTACCCTGTGAAAGGATAATAAATAAATAAATAAAATAAAGTAAACATATTTCAAAGTTGCAACCTCCATTTAAAAAAAACAAACATTTGTTTTTAAATCTCAAAACCATTTACGTTTGTTCCTGCTTCTCCCTTCTCCCCCTGAAATAGAACAGAAAATTAACACACATATTTACAAAATACAAATGTCTTAGTTTGTTGCAATAAATCTTTAGGACCTTTTCACCATCATCTCCTTTTGGCCCCTTTCCTCCCTGTGAAAGGAAAATGCATATTGCAGTTATTTACAGAAAAGAATGTCAAAACAACATACAGTATGTTAAAGGGTAAGGACAGTCATTTTCTATATTAATAGTATTTAAACAATCCCCACACAGAGACTAAAACCAACAATAAATTGCTTCAACTCATGGTCTGGCAGTCTCCCATCTGGGTTACTTTATTTGTTTGTGCCATCAACCTCCATTGTTGTTCAATAACAATTAAAAACACATCGGTGAAATATGCTGCTGCACTGGGTGACATGTCTCCTGATTACGAAATGTTACCCACATGTTTTTTGTATTTTTACAAATATTGCCCCAAAAGTCAACTGCGCAAGCACAAGGATCCATTGCACTGTAAACAAAGCAGAAAGCACGCACAAAGTCCATGGCACAGAAAAATAAGATAATCCAGACTGGAGACTGACACACACTAACTGTGTTTTGAGGTAATTCACTGTTGGTTTTAGTCTCTGACGAGGACTGTTGAAAATACTATTAATTAAGAAAATGACCAACCTTATCTCTTAAGCATAACACCAGTCCAGCTGGTATGACACAGCACAGCGCTATAATTGTTAGATGGAAATGTTCCTCACATCTTGTCCAGGCAGGCCCCTCTTCCCGTCAATGCCGGATTTCCCCTGTAGAGCAAAGGAAATAAAACAAACAGTCTTAGGAGATATTTTTCTGCTTGATCATTATGTGGAAAAACAAAAGTTTCTTAATCTGCTTATGTTAATTGAATAGCAAAAACACCATTATATTTTGTTAGTGGCTTGAATGTTGACCCCAGTACTGACCATTTAAACATATACCTGATGAACTCAGTAGGTAATGTCATTCCAAGTGATACTCACTGGAGTTC